TTTGATGTAAATAAAGTCTTCTGAGTTTGTCTTTTAATACTCTTTGCCCCCCCCCCCCCCAAACAGATGGGACAGTGAGGCTCCAAAGAGAGGTGGTGCTGCTTACAGATGACCGTAACCTGCGCGTCAAAGCTTTGACTCGTAACGTCCCAGTCCGAGACATCCCTGCTTTCCTCAGCTGGGCCAAAGTGGGCTGAACCAAGCAAAGCTGGAATCAAAGGAACCCAACTGCTGAAGCCTGCTTGCCACTCAGCCAGGAGAGAAGACACACTTAAGCAGAGGAAGAAGAGGAGGAGATTAACAGGGGAGAGGAAATGAAAAAGAAAGCAAAGAACCGCTACTTATGAAATACAAACAAATGTAGTGAGAGCAGGGTGGTTTCAATGAGCTTTTCCCTCTTGTGATGAAGCGTGTGTGTATGTATGTGTTAAGATCAGTGAGCTTCCCCAGAAAGAGACAGGGAGACTTGATAAGTCTCAGAAAGGCTGGACTAGAAGAGAGGAAGGAGGTAAAAATGGAGTGATATCATTTGTAAGTTGTCTGGTCCAGCCTCGAGCCTCTGCACCTAGTTAGTGAGTGTGCTCTCTGCAAGCAGTATCAATATTTGAGGTGATGATAGAATGAGCCAGAGAGAGGGAGCGTGTTTATGGTCATTTAATTGATTAAAGACATCAATACTGAAGGCCATAACTGGCACCTCCACATTTCTCTGAGGGCCCAGTCTCGTAGACTTCTGTGGCCTGTAAAGCAGAGCTGAGAGAAAGGAAGGCGAAGAGAAGCACAGCTGGAGGATCTGTGTCCGTAGAGTAAAAAGTGGCTGATTGCAGTGAGGGTCGATCAAGAGCCCTCATGCAATATAAGCACCACCAAGGAATCGTGAGCAGGTATGGTATTTCCTGCTAACCCAGGAAGTGCCTTATGTGTGTTTGTTAACTTGGTTGTTCCTCCAGCTTGAAGCTAACATTAAGTTTGGGTATTGAAAATGTTTTTAAAAAGTCACCAAAAACAAAAAAAAGATTGGTTTATTTTAATTTTCTGTCTTTTGGCTTGTTTTTGAGCTCGTGTAAAAAGTTTTGTTTCCCTCATGGAAGCCATTTTTCCATTTTAGACACTGATAATAAGCATCTGCAAAGTTTTCCAGTGTGAACCATAGATTATAATTGAATCCATTTTTTTTTTTTTTTTTTTTTTTTTTTAACTGATCTGGGTGCAAATGTATTTGTAAATAATAATTACTTTGTGTTTTTGAGCAGCATAAACTGTGAGATTTGATATATCAAAACTAGTTTGTTGGCTTCTGGTGAGTTTTCAGTTTTACAAAATTATGCTACATTGACTAACTTTATGGGATTTTCTCATTTTAACAAAATTCAACCCATCTATCACTTCAAACAGTATGGGGGGGAAAAAAACATTTGCAAATGCTGTTTGACCCAGGTCTCCTGTAGAGAGCCACCATGTTAGGACTTGGTTTGGTCCTTCACTGTGACTTTGCAGATACTTAATTATTGAGTAGCATTGGTGTCTATCAGTCTTTTTGTGCATTTTCAGTTCATACCACCGTAGCAGTTTACCTTTTCATAAAATGTTTTTAATCATTATCCATTACCATTATCTTGTTTTCCTCTTCATAGTTTGAGTTTTTTTTCAAGGTCACTTATCCACTTTTCTTTAGTTGAAATAAAATACATGTGGCATAAGAGCATAAATTACAGCCTGTAAAATTTCCATCGAGTTCAAAACAACACCTCACTGACACATTGTCAACAAACATGAACACGAAGGTAGTATTTGTGTTTGTTGTTTTGCTTTCTCTTCATTGCTTTGGGAGACAGTTTAGGAGATGCTGAGTTAATTCAGTGTATATTTCTGTGTGCTTTTGAGATGGTGTCTGGATGCTCAAAATAGATATAATCTACACCTCTGCCCTCTGTTATGTTAGAACATACACAATCATCATTCACTCACCACAGTGTGATCATATGGATTTGAAATTGTACTGTATGTAGAAGTGGCTTTCCTACTTTCTATTTGTCCTGTACCTTTTTAGCTGGGCTCGTACAACTACCATCAGCAGTTGATGTTTCTGTATTTGTAAACTATGAGACAGGTTTATTCTTTTTTTTTTTTCTACAACACCTGTTGTAGGGTTTCTGTAGCTTCTGTTAAGTGGCACTGCATCAGTGTTTTAGTGTCAAAGCAAATGTAGTAAAAACATAACACAAAACTTTTTCATCATCCATCATTAAAAATGTTTTGAAGGCATTGTTTTTACCTAATTGATGTGAAAATTAACAACCGTCATTTTGACTTGTAATAACCGGAAAGGCACAGGTGTTGCTGAAAACATGAACATTTCCTCCGTCATATTCAAGAGTCCCAGAAAGCTGTGACTGAGCCAACCTTCACAGTACCATGACCCTGAAACCAAATCAGCAAAATGGAATTCAGCCAATATTCATTTTATTATTTAGACCTGTTCTGTTCCTTCTGTGATGTGGTTGTCTTGCACTGAAAGATTTTCTTTATATTGACATTCACTTTATATTAAGCCTTGAAGTATTAACGTCTAGAACTCAGAGGTCTTATTTTTGTATACATTTAGGTCACAAAATGAAGTATTGTATTATAACAAAAAATTGGACAGTTTAAATATTTGTGAGAAATTACTGAACACAGATTAATTTAGTCCATGCAAATGATGACACAATAAATATGTGATGGGATCCATTCATAAATCCAGATAATCAAAATTATTACAAGAAACAAAACAAGATCAAATTATCTGCATAAAGTTATATGGAAATCACTCACATACCAAAACCTTTACATGTGTGCCCTCATGTGGTAGTTGAGGATTACACAGGTGAAAGTGATGGAACCAAGGAGACGGCATGTTTGGGTGTAGCACTTCAATACAGGGAATGTCTTAATAAATTCATGAAGGAGACAAACATGCAGAAATGTATAGATCAACCATACTGAAATGATGAAGGAGACATCTGTGAAATCTGAAAAGCGAAAAGTTTAATGACCATGATCATTATCTAGACATGCCTCAAAAGACTGAACGGCTCTGGTCCAGTCCTGATATTCTATTCTTAGAGCTGACATATGGTCAAATTTCAAATTCCCAGTGATAATAAAGAGCAAGGCACACAGAGTCAGTCAGTGCACTCTACCAGTAGCATAAGATCAGTGCTTGGAGGGTATTCGCTATTAGAAATATCTATATAACTCACTCTTCTATAAGCAGGTATCTGTGAATGTGCATCTTCAGAAAGCATGAGTGGGACAGATGCTTCTTCAGCATTTAACATCTGCGGACAAGCACAGTCATCACAAATACGCTAAGTCTCAGTCTGAATAAACCCCAGTATCTGTGGTTATATCTAGAGGGATTCAAGTATTTATACTATATACACACATGTATGTGTAGTGTGTGTGTGTGTGTCAGGGACAGAAAGTTCTGCAGCCTATCCATCCAGATCATTTGCCTCAGTATACTTCTGTGCCTGGATACAGACCACACAGGCAGGACCTGATTCCCATCATCATGACAACAGGGCTACCAAGCAACCAATCAAAACCCTCTGAGCCCTGCTCTGCAAGCTCATTGGTTTCTCAGCCTGCAGCCTGTTGTGGAATGCCCATCTTTAACCTCTCTGCTGCCATGCACATTGCATACATCCTATATTTTTCTCAATACAGATTACAGCTACACGTGTAATCCTCTTCTGAGATATGATGTCATGGTTATACTGACTTGATATTAAGTTGTTGCATGTGATGACTGGAACATCTGAATAAAATGTATTTCTGTCAATACAGCAACAGAGGCTTCAGATTCAAAAATGGTCACTTGTACGCTTCTCTGATGTAAACATAACATGATTTTTTTTTTTTTTTTTAAAGTTACAGTGTCCGAAATGGAAACATCTGTAGTACATCAGTGGAATTGTGGCAACTGCCAAGCTGTGTGGAGGCTGAGAATAGAAGCACTGAGCCCCCATTGAATTAACTGTATGTATGACTGATCATCTGGTATCTGCACTGCACTACACTTTCCTGTTAAACCACACTTCATATTATATAACCGTGTAATACCAAATTATTGTATTCCAGGTCATGAACTTTAAGGTGTTGTATTCACCACGTGCTTTCATAGGTTTCACAGGGTGCAAACTGACAATTTAATCATAGTATTGTAATTATATTTCAGAACACATCTAGACTGTATTGTTTGGTCTGTACTACTACTGTTTGCCAGAATAAAAGAATTATGCTGTTATGATGTAAAACCCCACTCTTCTCACCATACTAAGGGCAAGGACTGATGAAGTGCACAGTGTCCCCGGACAGGTTGAAGCTTGACATCTTGAGGAGATCTGTTATTGTTCTAAGAAATATAAAACAGTTTTTAACATTGTCTGTGAGTTAACGACGGGCTATTTATAGTAGAGGCCAGATTAAGACTGAAACTGTTAATCAGGTTAGGAGCTCAGTGACTCAAAGTGTATAAGGCCAAACACACAGACACTCACAGGCTAGGGGGAGAGTGACATCCAAGACTTGGCTATCCCCTGCTGTAAAATGGACCAGGACTCATGTTGTGTTCACACTCATGTGTATGGCTTTCTCCATCCATACCACATACCCATGCTTGCATTTGGAGTTGGATTATACAGCAGGACCAAACTCAGAGATTAGAGGGGGGGGGGCATAGTTACCCTGCAGGGTGCAGCTGCACAGCATCAACAAGACTCTCCCAAACTGTCACACGTGTACTCTCGTCTCAGTTAAAGCTGACTGCACCGGCTCTGTGTCTATTCATTTGCTCCTTGATTCCTTCACGGTGGAAGGGAGGTGATTCTCCTCGCCGCCATTTTTAGGGAACTGCCTATCGAAGAGAGAAACTTTGCTAGCTAATGCCCAACGTTAGCAGCTAGCTAGCTGGCCAGTATCCTGCCTGCTTGCCAGTCCGTTGTGACAGTTAACGCTTGACAGTCGGTAGCCACGGTAGCTTGCCTCACGCTAATTTTTTCTTGCCACTGGCCAGTATAGGTGACAAAAACGCTTAATGTTAAAGTAAACTATTTAGCCAGTCTTGAGAGTCAGCGTGACCGTCTATACAGGGCAGGGCAATTGTGCAGTTAGATTAGCGAATTAGCACTGCTAACTTAGTAGCTAGCGAATTCACACTTTGATTTCTATGGTCTGCATTGCATCGTCTGTGATTTGGCGTTCGTTGCTTTGCCCTGCCGTGTTCAGGCTGACTGGATTGATTTGCCGTTTACACCCCTCTTCTCAACCTGTGTGGATTCATTTTGACGAGGTGAGTTGGTCGCTAACTTTAGCTTTGTGCTAACTAACGATGGGTAATGTCAGATTTGTCCTCCGCTGAATGCTGCAATTGAGCTTGATTTCAACATGGGTTAGCTCGACTCGGCTAGCTAGCTAGATTGGTTGCTATTCGTCAGCTAACCAAAAGTTGCTGTCACAACTTGTATGGTCTGTCGCATCGACAGATTTTAGTCTGCCTTGCTGGGCAACTCCAGTCATCCCTTGCTAGCACAAGGGTGTTTACTCTGAATGACAGTGTAACACATAAGCAAACGATATCAGTTTACGGACAGCAGGGCTAGCGGGCTAAATTTTGAGTGGTTAGTTTTGTTGTAAATAATGGGAAGAGATTGCTTTCTCTAAGAAGCGTTAGCTAGCTACGTTATCTTGCTAATCCGCTTTATGCAACTATCGTTGCAAGCAGTGCCACTCCCTCGTTTTTGTTTTTGTCCACTGTGGCTGTGCGTTAAGTGAAACTCGGCTTTGGAGGTGTCTGTTTTGGAAGTTTGCTTATCTGCAAGGGACATCATGAGTCACATACCGTCTGAATTGCTAGCTGTGTGACGGTAGGTGACATTGGTCAAGCCTCGTTCTGTGTTTGTGGCACGTACACGTTCTGACATTGTGTTTACAGGCAGCATTAGCCTGGAGAGTCTGAGAAATCATTACTGTCGAGTGTGGCTGCCGTGTATAAGCGACAAGCAGAGCTCGCATCTATCGGCCGCTGATGGCTGTTTTTGTGCACTGACGTGAGTCGCATTCCTCAGTTTTCTGTGTTGATATTGCGTAACACTGGCTATCACTCAGCAAGCCACTCTCCTGCTGGGCTTATCTGTGACTTCGCCGCTCAACTTATGTATTACAGTGGATCATCGACACAATGATTTTACATAGCACATTGAATATGGTTAAGTCATGCATAACGTCTGTGTTGTGACATCAAGTTTACCATTCATTTAACCAAGACGTTGCGCTTTGGAGTAATCTGTCAGATCTGATGTCCAGGGCTTGATGACTGATAAACACAAACACCTACACATCATTTTTGTTTTATGTGCTGTATGTACTGGCTCCGCTTGTCAAATAAGCACCGCAGTATGAGCAATCCACCTATCTTTGTTGTTGTCTTTAGACCATGTTGAACAGACATGTTATAAATGCAGCCTATGAACTACAGCTGAAAGGCAGGTACAACTTGTCCTCTTACTCTTATCACAGATTTCTGCCTTTCCTTGCGTTCCTATATTCTCTGTGTCCTGTGTGCTGATCTGCACACCTGTCATTTGTTCATTTATGTCTCTGCATGCTTGTCAGAACAACAGTGCATTCACAGGCAGGAGCAGCTCCCCTTGTTTACTTTCAAGGACTTGCTGCTAGCTGATGATGAGAGGTACGCAGCTGTTATTGAGTGTGAACATCTCTATGCAGGAGAAGCCTTTGCAAAGTTGTGGTTTTTTGTGTGTATGTCAGTGTTATATCAGGGGGTGCTGAATATGGGCACACTGCATAATGGATTTAAGTGTCTCCCAGGAAAAATGGATTAGACACTGGAGCAAAGCCTGCCCTGTTTGCTAAAGTCTAGATCCAAGCCAGTGACAGCCAGCCACTGCAGAACAAGTGCTGGTTCCATAATATGATCCACGACTGCCATCATAACTCTATTTGTTAGTGATATATGTAATGTACTTATAGATGACATAGTGTGAACCTTAATTACCTTACTCATTATAATACTACAGCACTACAATCTGCTTATTATATTTAATCATTTTTTAGCTGGCTAAACAGATGGCTAATCAAATGACAGTAATCGTCAGGTTGTGAATGTGTTAACTAACATGACTGACAGTGGCATCTTCGGTGACATGGTAGTTCATAAAACTCAAGAACTATAGTTATGGTCCTGTTTCTTGAAAGGAATTCCGAAGCATCTGCTCAGGGTGTTTGAGGCTGGCTGCTGAACAGTTGGAAACCAATAGCATATTTGATGAGTCAGACTGAGAGCAAGAAGATAAAGGCAGAGGATTGGAACATCCAAAACAATTTTCCAGGTGATGGACAGGACACATACTGTAAATAAACAACAAAAAATATATTAAAAAAATATCAGAAGTGGGGATCTGCCATTTTTTTTAATTATAGGATGAACAGTTTAATTTATAGGATGCACAGTTTCATCAGTTTTAGTCTCAAATTTTGCACATTTTTGGTGATTAACTCAAACTTTAAACAGATGAGTGCTTCCGTCTGATTTAGCAAACCACAGCCACTGACATGACTTGGGATGTTGTGTGTCTTGTTGTTGAGGGTGGCTGAGGAAATTGTTGTCTTTTTTTGTCTCTTGTTCAGAGGAAACTCGGTATGTTGTTGATGCTCGTGAGATTTATCCCAACAGGAAGAGTGTAAATGGAGCTCTGTGAGAGAAATGGGATGGATCAAATCCTCTTAGTGTTCTGTCACTCCATTGCTTTCCTCTGTCACCATCATCTCTGTAGCACCAGTGTGGATGTGTTGTTGTTGACATTGGGTAGCTAGAGAGTTTTCACTTCCTCTACTCAGTGAAAGCCACAATCAGTCTGGGAAGCAGGAGCATGGACACCCTGCCCTCCATCTTGGGGGATAGAAATGTAGTGTATAAGCCATTTGACCAAAAGCGTACATGTAGGTAATGAAATCAACAATGTATCTTAACAAACAGCTAAGATCTTGTTTTTATTGGTCTTTGGCTGATGATCATGAACATAGGGATACACCTAACCCATGTTTTCTCTATCGAATCCAATACCTAAACTCAAGTGTATTGGCTGATACAAACATAGATCAGATACTGCTGCTCTTTTTTTTTTTTTTTCTTTTTCAGTGTAAAATCTGTGCACCCCACTGGACCTGACTGGGGTTGTTTGTGTTTAACGTAGTATGAGGGTACATGTAGTTTCTGAACTGTAAGTCGAGTCGTTGTTTTTTTGGCCTGTGAACACTTTAATTACATTGTTGTTGTTATAAAGTTGCGTTGTTACAATACAGCAAAGAGACTAAAAAGTATTTCATGTGGACCAGTTTCATCTGGAAGATACATGATCATTTAATAAGACGTGTTAGCTCAGCACATTCCTACTTTAATTATTTAGCATACAGCATCAAGCATCTTACTGGAGGACATTTTGAAACCATACGTATTAGAGTGTGTGTGTGTGTGTGTGTGTGTATATATATATATATATATAAATGTGTTAAACAAAGTAAATCAAAATGACAATTGAGTTCCCACAGCTCTGTAAAAACAGTTCAAAGACCCTACACATACGCACAAGTGATTTCAGATATTCTGGATGATGACATTTCGTTTTGGGTTGACATTTAAGGTTGAAGCCTAACTCACTTCAATTCCACGTATCTAAAAGAGTCATAACAGTATAAGTTGTCCTGCCTTAACAGGTGCAACAAAACCAGGAGAGTCAGCAAGGTGTCAGTCAAGCACAGTTTACACACAGGAGGTGTGACCAACCAAAATGACTAAACAATAACTATGTAGATGTACCATGGATGTGTAGGGGTTCAAACTAATTTAATGTAACAATTTGTTTATTGTGGTGGCTGGCAGAGCTCCGTACTTCCGGAGGAATGATAACCTCTAATTTTGGGCTTCTGTTTAACCCAGTGTTACACTTGTATTGGAAGTCTTAGTATGTAATCAGTGTAATTGTAGCTAGCTTAAATAAGGCTGTTTTATAATGAGTTAAGTGTTGCATTGCAATCTGATAAATTATATCGACTGTATTTGTATTATGTAGTTGTTATAGATTGTAAACAGCAGGTCTTAGGTTGGGTTTTAATTAGCTTTTCCTTTAGATTTAGCTTATCCTTTGTATTTCTTCTTTGTCTACTCTCTGCATTTTGATAAAGCAGCAGACAGCAGGATTGCTCTGGAGTTGCTCCTCTGTAGCTGACCCTGTGCTGTGCAGCTAAGAGAGTTTCATGATAGGGATCAATAAAGTATTTGATTATTTATTATCCCTCTCCATTTCTCTCCTTCTTCCTGTCCATGACACCCTTTTGCTACTCAGCTTTGTGTATTGGTTTGCCTCTTCATTAGGCCTCTTGGTGATTTTTACTGTGTAGAGGAAATCAATTGACATAATACATCAAGAGAGAATCTTTTTTCTCAAGCAGTGAAGCAAAACAACTTTCGTTGCATTTCTTGAACACACTGTTCTTTGTGATAATGCTTGTACACACGCATCTTGCAGTTCAGTCCACCTCTCCTAGATTCAGTCTTGTGACTTAGTGTTTGGTTGCCTGTATGATTGTGAGACAAAGAACGGATAATGATAAATATCTGATTGTGTTTTTGTTTTGGTTTATACATACTATATTATCCGGTAAAGTAGAAATGTACAAACAGTCCAGTCCACCTTAAATCAAGTCTGGTCTAGTTTAATTCTATATATACAGTATTATATGGTTCTGTTGGACAAATTTTGGTGTGAAACCATCGTTGTGAGGTCATTTTGGCTGATCCTCACAACTTAACGGGCTTTTTTAGGGTTAAGCTTAGGCAGTTTTTAATGCCACGCACACACATGGACAGACACTCACAAACACCATATCCACCTTGTAGATTCACCTTCCAAATAAGGCAAATCAAAATAAGGTGTATGTGTATAAAATATTTGTTTTTGTTTTTTTTGTTTTCTTTTACCACATGCTGGGCAATGAAAATGTCCAGGCAATAAAACCAGTACATTGTCTAAAAAATGTAACTGTGAAAACAAGATTTATCAAAATAGTTGTAATGGTAAAACATATTTACAGTAACAGTGCATTTGCCTGTTTGCGAGATGAAGGTCTGAGGATCCAGTCTTTGAAAATAAAGCTGATATTGACAGTGGTTCTTTTTTGGTTGTTCCATAATGTGGTGCTTTACAAACTGGGTGGTGGGTCAGCCTGGGAAGGTGCACAGTCATTACAACACAAGAGTGAACATTCTTTAAAAGAAACGTAATGTTCATGTTACGTGACAGTGTTATTAAAAGAAACAAAAAAAAACATGACTCCTTTCGTTCCGGTGTTGCCCTGTATTATTGATAGAATGTAATCAATTTACAAATTTGGGAGAGTATGAACTTTGGTGACAACGTATCTTTAGCAGAATTGTTAAATAAAAACTTGTGATTCTTGACAAGGTATAGTTTGCTGACATTACAAAGCCCATTTACATGGAAGGACCATGAAATTATTTATGCATTGAAATTATATAACTACACCAGCCGAAAGCCCACACCTCACAGTTGTCTTAGAAGCACAGACATTGTCTAACAACACACAGAACATTTTAACATCAGAAAAACATTATCATTACAACTATTAGAAAATAATGTAGTAACTGCTATAGAGTCAGTAAATGCTAGTAAATAATAATATGCTTGTTAGCAACCTAGCGTGTGATTGTATGGTCTCCCATTGTAGCCATCAGTGAAGTCAGTGTGTGCTGAATCAAGTGTTGATGAGGAAGTACAATCACATGTTGGGTGGAAAAAGTCTTTGTAGTTCAGAAAAAGTACAGAAAGTTTTGACACCAGAGTATTAATAACATTGTTGTGGTGTTGCTGCTAATGCTGATGCTTTATCAGTAGATCATGACAGTCAGTGCTGTCTATGCAAGGAAATTCATCATTTAGAGTATGTCAGCGATTTTTACTTTGTCAACACTACGTCAAAGCTTTTCTGTCTTTTCACATTAAATGACCAAAACCTCAACCAATGGTATGTTGACTATCAAGTCTCTCTCACACACGCAGACACAGAGGGGTCTGTCTGTGAATGCACTGAATGTCAAATGTTCTCTGTGCTCACCGTAACTAATTTATCATTCTTACCTCCTTTCTGTGTGGTCTTGTATGGACTAACAGTAAAACTGGCACATTTGTATCGTTGTATTGTGGAGATCACACTCTGTTGCTGTTGGGGAAAAGTTGATTTGGTTTGTCAGGTCGCAACACATATTAAACATTTCTCTCATGTATTGCCTGGAACACAGTGCATTGCTTTGAATATCATTTGGAATATTTCATGTGTGATTTTTGCACATAGTACATTCCCTTTTTGACTGCAACTGTGGAGGGAAACCAGCACTAGCCTGCACTCATAGCTTCTCCTTTGTCTCTCTATAGGTGTGGTCATACTGCATAGTGTGTGAGAGGATTGTCCTGCTAGAAAATCAGTTGTTTTCTAACATGAAGTCAGATTGGATGGCATGACAGGTAAAGCACTGTCAAAGCAGTGACCAACTCAACATGCTAGAGTTGTGTGTTTTATGCACAGTCCTATTAACCTGTCCTTCCACTTGAAAGCAACTGTGAAGTTTAAATTTTGATTTGTTGTGCTTCTTTTTGCCTTTTAAAATTGCAAGTTTGGGGCTGTTTGAACACATTTAGCAGCCAAGCAATCAGCATTACAATGCTTGTCTAATAATGCTGCAAGTATTATGACAAATTACACAGAATTTTCTGTTCACTAGTATCCAACACAAAAAGACAGGATCTCTGTTTGTCTTACTAAAGTTTGTTCCCAGCAGCAGTTTTTAGCTTTTTTCCACTAAGATATTTGTTGTCCTTGAGGGCTGTATGTCTTAGTAGAAGAGTTTCACTCTTGTTTTTTTTCTCAGTCAGCTGGATAGCTTTTTCAGCAGGACAAACCTTGTGACATTCAGCCAGCAGTGTGGTTTTGGTACAGCAGGCTGCCAGGCTGTACTGATAACTATAGCCGGCAAGGTTAGCGGTGCTGCCAGCCCAAAGATAAGCCGAAAGGAGGAAAGCAGCATTTTACCCCCTGAGCGTGTCTGTAATGATATCCATGTGGTGTTTGGGTATGGAGGGGGGTTGTTGCCAATTTCAGATTGGCTGAAGACGAGGCATGGAGATGAGGTTAAAAAAGGGTGGAGTAATTCTTTAAGGCTGCATGTACTTTTTCTATGAGAGGGTTTGTACATTTCCTTTCCTCTTTTTAGGTGTATGTCCTGTTGGGCACTAGGATAGAAGTTTTTCCAAAGATTTTGTATTGATTGGCCATATTGCGAGGTGCGATTGACTCAGGCCCTTAACCCCTGCTGGAGTGGAGCTGTCCAGTGACCAACAGATCAGACTGCTTGATTGTGATCTGTATAAACAACACACTAAGCATACATGTTAGGTGTATTTGACACCAGGCCTTAATTTCACATGAGACAGTTTTGATTTTGTTTTGCAGCTCACTGCTGTTTGAGACAAATGATGAAAGTTTTTATTTATTTATTTATTTTTTACCACAACCTGGACGTGATGCATCTCTGCCTGAAAGGTAAAAGTCTATAGTCAGAGAACAAAGGATGCTGTGTGTCTGTAAGCAAGGCAAATTACATATTACATATTTAGTTGTTGTGTTTTTTGGAAGTGAAAATAAGTATTTTTATTTTTATTAACTTAAAGAAATAGGAAAAAAAAAAAGTAATTGTGGCATATGCAAAAGTTTGGGCATCCTAAGTCAGTACTTAATAAACTTTCCTTTCGCAGATATCACAGTTTGTAAACACTTCCTGTAACCAGCTAAGAGTCTTTCTATTGGTGATTTAGGAAGTTTCACCCACTCTTCTTGCAGATCTCTTCAAGTTCTCAGATATTTTTAGGCTGTCTTGCTTGCACACATACAGCATGTTTAAGATCTACAAATGTCAGTGAGGTTCAGGTCAGGGGACTATGAGGGCAGATCTAAAAGCTTCAGCTTGTGTTTCTTGAAGTAGTTATTGGTGGGTTTTCTGGTCTGCTTTGGCTCACTGCTCTGCTGCAGAAGCCAGATTCTTTTCTGTTTCACTTTCTTGACTGACTACATGACATTTTCATTTAGAATTAGCTGATATTTAGTGGAATAGTATTTCAGCCCTCATCCAAAACATTTGGCTAAGGGGTGCTTATTAAGTACTGACTCAGTAGGGTGCCCAAACCTATGCACATGCTACAATTACTGTGTCATTTTTTGCTATTTTTTCCTTTCCTTTAATGTCTGCTTTCTGCAGTGGTTGCATTTACTACTTTTCACTTCTAAAATCAGCAAATCTGGAATATGCCCAGCTGTGTCTAAACTTTTGCAACTTTTACAACTCTACAGACACCGGACAGTAAAAACCACAACCTCCAGGTGACTTCAGTAATTACCGTAACTTTAAAAAGCTGATAGAAAACAACAAAACACTGACAACAAACAGCACATGTACATCAGAGCAGTGTCACCGGTACAATACAGTATATAGGGTTTTGGCAAATGCTACGAATTTGCATGAACTGTGTAACTGTCTCTTTGTTTCTTCAGTGTATTCTGAGGAGAGACCTATAGAAGTTATTAACCCTTATTTTAGCTACGTGAACTTGAAATGCTTTCTCACGCACACACATAGTCGAATTTGCAGTGTTAAGGTACAGAATATTCAATGTGCACACGCATGCAGTTAGCATTATGAGAACACATACAGTATTAATCTTATGTGCATGTTACATGAATTAACAAGAGCACAATTGATGCATCCACTTTAGAGTGCACAGTAGAATTTGACCCCAGGTCATCTAATTGATCCTCTGATGCAACTCACCCCTCATTACTGTAGTCCACCTCATAGCACCGGACATGAAATCAATCTTTGAGCCAGGATATTTGCATTGCCCAGTCATTCCAGTAGCGTACAGACCTGCAATAATCGCTGAAGCAATCTGAACTGATGCACTTGTGATGACTCTGCAATTAGCAGATTATATTAGGGTCAGCACTTGACTGTGGGACCAGTAGCTAAAATCACTGTGTTTAAAATACTTGAGGAGCCCCTGACCTTTCTGGCAAACTTATAACTTGTATATAAACATATGACTGGGATTAGGGTACTTACGTGGAAGTCATTAGGTGGGATGTTTCCTGGGTGGTTGTATAATGACCAAGAAGCATAGGATATTGTTACAAGACTGAGTGAGGTTACATTTGTTATTATTCCTTACTCCCAAATAAAAATACTCCTTGGGAACATCATGTAGCCAAGTACCTTTTTTTATTTTTAAATATTTGGATGTGACCAAATGTTGTCCATTAACACATGAAATTGCTAAAGTAGAAACTGACAGACTGGCTACAGGCCGGCCAATATGAAGAGATGTTCTGGAGCCCTGCGTTCCCACCATTCATTCATTCCTGCTATGCCTTTTATGTGTCACACTATTTTATATTTGCTTCGATTTGTCATGCGTCTTTGTGTTGTGGTTGGTACGGATGAAGAGCAGGCTTTGAAGGAAATGTGACTTCATCAAAGTTGTGCTGAGATTTCTTCCTCTCCTTTCAAAGTCTGCCCATTGACTCTTCTATCTTCAAAATCCCATAAGTCAAGCCATGTTTTGTCATGTCCTTGCTAACACCTCTCTTTCTCCCCTCTTTTCCCCTCACCCCTTCTGTCCATCTAGGTGCCCATGTGCTGATTCCTTAGGCCCATCCATTACTGCAGATGAATCTTCAGCTGCTTTGGCGTAGCTCAGCACCCAGATAGTCCCATCCCCTTTGCGTGGGTGATACGGGACTACATTAACCAGGATGCCCTCCTCTGTAAGGGCAGGGAGCCTGAAGGATCCGGAGGTGGCTGAGCTTTTCTTCAAAGAAGACCCAGAGAAGCTTTTCTCAGACCTCCGAGAGATTGGCCATGGCAGCTTTGGCGCCGTCTACTTTGTATGGCAACTACATCTTCACACTGACTCACACTGACACACTGCACTTGAACTTGTGATGCAAAATTAGTCTCTGTATTTGATTAGCTGCAGTATTCCTTTCTGTGGATAATATAGTACCTGAAAGCTACTTGGTTTACCCCTTAAAGTAAGCAACTGAATAGCATATATCTTATATTTTGATTCAGTACATCAGTGAGCTTACAATGTGCCAGCGTTTGCCTCGCAGTTAGAGAAAAATAAAGCTTTCTGATCCTCAGTAGAGAACAGAAACGATTTGTACAAAGTTATTTTTACCAACCCACAATCATGGTGTTTAATAGCAGGTACCACAGAGTGATGTGACTCACCCTGACTTCTTGATCTGACCTTCGTTCTTGAACAACGTACGCATTGTGGTTAAAAAAGTATAAGAGGTCTCGAAAAACCACATCCTTGATGAGGCAAAATGCAAAGAGAATTAGATCTCCTGTATGTTATGGTTGAAACGTGTAACTAACAATGTACTTTGTGTTTGCCAGGCACGGGATGTGCGCACAAATGAGGTGGTGGCAATTAAAAAGATGTCCTACAGCGGCAAACAGTCTAATGAGGTGAGACAAGATTGATATTTATATACAATATAACATAATAAGATACGATAGTTCAGACACTTGACCGTAAACATTTTCACACTGTGCTCTTTATGCTTGTATGCATCGTAAGGTCCAGTGTAGAAAATGATGCTGGCCTTTTGTCTAGATAACTGACAAGTGTTTACTCAGCAGCACTGCAGGAGACTTGTGGTTAAAAGGGAAGCCATCTTTGCCATTTTTGTTTTATGAATTTATTTTTTACCATCAGCTCCAATATACTTCTGTATGGAATTTGTGCCTTGAAAAACTCAAACCCCCGATTTTCAGAGAATTAAGTGTTTGTTTTTAGGATAATGGGTTCAGGTTTTGCTACATGAGCTGGTTTATAATTTGCAAACAGCAAAAACATTGCAAACATATATATTAGCTGATCAAATTACACAACTTATGACTCATCATCGCTTGCCATTGTCAAAGTTTAGTGTTGTGCTCCTTCGCGTAGGTTCAGTGTCGTCAACCTGGCAGGTTGGAGGAGGAGGAGGAGGGGGAGGGGAGTAAACAACTCTCCGATATTTTGAATTTGGACCACAGCACCCCTTTTAAATGCTGTCTTTCAGTGTTACATATTGTTCCTTTAAAATTGGTAATGGCCTTTTAAAAGAAAAAAAAAACATTAATAAACTGTTTATGTCTTGGTTTGACGTTTGTGCACTTTAACACGCCTCACATCAATGTAGCTGCTCTCTGTGATATACTCTCGTTAGTCGGAAACGGTAGAAATCCAAACATGACAGCCAGTGACAAAAAGAGCCTGTGTGTGTGCTCCCAGAAAAGTGGGATTGACTGAAGTAATCCTGTGTCAACTACTTTGCTAGATGTGAATCCCTCATCTAGACTCTGGTTTTCATCGAGTAATTTCAGGTTGTCCGGGGCCAGATAAAGAGCTTCTGGACCACAGTATTAATGTTGGGTATGAAATCACTTAACCTTACAGTCTCAAAGAGGTCAGTCCTGTGCGCTCACTTTCACTGTTGTCGTCCTAGATACAGCTCATGACTTCAGATTAGCCATAATCAGATTACACATAATCTGTGAAGAGAATCAATGCATTGCCTGTTTTATTTTTAAGTCCCTTCTTTCCTCAACAGAAATGGCAGGACATTATAAAGGAGGTAAAGTTTCTCCAGAGGATCCGGCACCCCAACAGTATAGAATACAAAGGCTGTTACCTCCGTGAGCACACAGCATGGGTAAGTCACCTGTTTACATGCACTGAATTGGAAGATTATGTCATTCTGCTGTGTGTAGGGTTCTATATGTGTCTATAAATTGTTATTCCTGACTTCGTCTCTTGTTTCTAGCTGGTGATGGAGTACTGTCTGGGCTCAGCCTCTGATCTGCTAGAAGGTGAGCCTAAAAGTGTTCCACATTTTTGGCTATCTCTCAGAGGTCACAGAAAGAAAAGTGGATATTGATGTGTCCTCTTCAGCTGATGTTGATTCCTGCTCAAATTGTTTTTCCTCCTCCAGTTCATAAAAAGCCTCTACAAGAAGTAGAGATTGCTGCCATTACACATGGTGCTCTGCAGGGGTTGGCGTACCTTCATTCCCACAATATGATCCACAGGTTAGTGATTTTTACATGACCTATATTGTTTTTTTCAGAAAGTGTGTGTAACCAATATATCCCCCACATACCCCCTGCTCTGACACACATTTCCTCTCATTTTTCTCTCTCTCAGGGATGTGAAGGCAGGAAACATCCTGCTGACTGAGCCGGGGCAGGTCAAACTGGCAGACTTTGGCTCTGCCTCCATCGCTTCACCTGCCAACTCCTTTGTGGGAACGCCATATTGGTAAATGAGAACTGAGAGAATTGAACGTGTCTGTGTTAAATTTTGTGCGGACCAAAATGTTGACTTTATGAACAGTCTCTAATTGAGCAGCTGCTCGAAGAAGCATCGATTTATGAAATGGATTTGCCTGTAAAAAGTATTTGCCCCTGTTTGCATATTCACACACAAGTAAAGAGCTGCATGCTGAAGTATTCAAATGCTTTGCTGCTGTGATTGCAGCAACTCCCTCTCTAGGAGGGGGAGTTGCTGCTTTTTTGATGTTATTTATGCTGCAGAGAAACTACTTAGATGAGTCATGAAAAACACCATTATTTAATTCCAAGGAATAAAGTGACAATACCTTTTAGTTTGGAGATTTATAGTAAAACAAATGTTCCTTTTTTTTACTCTTAAGAAGATGAGTGTGACTAAATATCAATAAAAGCTCCCCTTCTCTTTTTATTTATCTTTCTCTGTGTCCTACATCCCACTTTATCTTTCTCCTCCACTTCATCCAGGATGGCCCCGGAGGTGATTCTAGCTATGGACGAGGGCCAGTATGACGGGAAGGTGGATGTCTGGTCCTTGGGGATCACTTGTATAGAATTAGGTAGGTGACCCTGTGTGTGTGTTAAGATGTAACTGCTGTAGAATTTTTTTCAATAAACATGGGTATAAAACTTGTGCTCAATATACTTAAATACACAATCTGTTAACTGAATGTTACTCAGAAGCCCCAGCCCTACCATCCTTTCTAAACACAGGATTTACTGTTGCTGCCAAATTGACTGATAGTTCTTTGAATAACGCTTGACAGCTACATCAACTTAAGCAATGTTTTGCAAGGTTAAAGCAAGGTTTGATTTAAGGTTCAGATAAATCAGTAATATTTATGAATGCAGCAGTAAAACAGGCTGTTATTTTTTAAGCTGTTATATATTCATTGTGAATAAACTTGTAATTTAATAAGAGGGAATATGGACTGATTGTTTCTGTTTCTGTTTCAGCGGAGAGGAAGCCTCCCTTGTTTAACATGAATGCAATGAGTGCCTTATACCACATAGCGCAGAACGAGAGCCCCACGCTGCAATCTAGTGAATGGTAAAGTGACTCACACACTAACACACACACAATCACATACAATCACCACATACAATCAAACTGATAATATGTTTGCTTTTGAAACAAAATTAATTCTACTGCTATAGGTTGCTACTTTTATGGAAGGAATTGAATCTACTCTTACTTTTATTTACGGTTGATTACTGTAAAACTGAATTATGACTTTGGGGGAAATCTAGAGATTATTGATAACAGGTACATGTAGCTTTGTAGTCTTTTCTGATATAAATGTCTCAGAGTAGGTGCAGGTAGTAGAGAGATATTTTATCGCTCTGATAGCTAGCACAACACAGGAGGGGAAAGAGAAATACTCTCCTCTCACATTATGTTGTATATTTTTCACCCAAATTGATAGTGTTTACTTCCGTTAAAGAATATCTTTTGTAGGTGTCTTGTTTTGTTTTGACTCTCCGTCTCGTCATCTTTGTTTCAGGACGGATTACTTTAGAAACTTTATCGATTCTTGCCTTCAGAAAATCCCCCAGGACAGGCCGCACTCTGATGACATGCTGGGCGTAAGTGCATGCACACACTGTACACTGCTACACAGAAAGAGAGAGCAAGGTCAGTTTGTTAAGATGGGAGATTGACAAGGCCTCTGGTGATAAATCTCTCTCTCTGATGTTTGCGCTCTGTTCTGTCCTCCATAAGCTTCTATTTTGATTCACTAATCCTCTGCTTCCGGATTCACACACAACCACAACATGTACACACACACACGCACACACACAGCACAGTTTTGTTGAAAGAACACAGATGTAATTACTGTAGAGATGTGACTTCTCCATCCACTGCTAAGTAATTGAGCAGCTGTCACTTAGCCCTCTAATGGACTCACTATTGTTAATGGAAGTTGTCCTTGGGGTATGGAAGCACTGCACACTATGTCTTTCTTTTTTAAATGTTATATGGGCTAAAATTAGGGTCGAAAAAAATTTGTAAACTGATCTCCACTGCAGGTCCTGAAAGATGTAGCAGATTTTCAAGATGGATGATGGCGGGGGCTCTTCAGTCACTCAGCTGGGTTTAATTATATTTGTTGATGCTGCAGAAAACAGTAAACATTTAATGTATGAAAACCCAGCTGGGTCATGGAAGAGCCTTTCATCATCCATCATCCATCTTGAAAATCTACTACACCTTTCAGGGCCTGCAGCACAGATGGCAAGTAATAAAACCACCTGCCCTCTGAATGGACTCTGACTGTCATATTCAGGTGTAAAAACAGGGTCAAAATTCACAAAAGCACTTTTTTCACTGTGTCTTTGTGTAACCTCACCACTGATATCATTTGTTCACTGATTTTTTTCTTTCTTTCTTTCTTTCTTTTTTTTTTTTTATAAATACAAATCTTTTCCACACATTCACAAACTTGAGTTTCTCATGCAGATTTATTTGACGTTTACAGATTGAATTACAGCTACAAACATTGGAATTATTTGTGAATATTATTCTACAAGTTCTGAATCTTTTTGACTGTATTTTGAGCCCATAATGTTCATTTCCAAAATGGTATTTGCTTAAACAAAAGGGAAACTGTTAGGATGTTCTCTATTTCTTCGTCTTCTTTTTTTTGTCATCTCTTGTCATGTCATGTCAGTTCAGACAGTTACTCATCCGCATGACCCACTGTACTACACAGTTTGCTACAATAGCCACAGGGTTTTCCAGTCTGTCATGGGCCCTAATATACTCCAAAAAGGACAGCAGACATGCATGTGGTTCTATTTATTTATACCAAATTGGACATCTGCGTATGAGAGATGTTGATGACGGTTGATGGTGGAATTTACATCACCCGAAACCTTGCGGCCCCTAAAGCAAGCGTTTGAATGTAATCTTTTTGGTCTGAATCAAAGACGAATGTTCAAAATGATTTGTGTAGAATTTAAGTTTTTTGAAAAGCTGTATGAAGCCTGCGTTCCTTGCCGTTGATGAAAGTATCTTAAGAGTCTTTACAACAAAGGTTATGAGTAAATGTTTATCACGATCAGTAGCTATAATGAAAAAAATAGGAGACTAAGACACAAGTTGACAAAAATAGGAATTTCCCTTTATAGATGGTTTCCTGTTTACAAACAATTGAGGATCAAGGTGGTGAAAAACTCATAGCCGTGATGTATATATATATATTTGGGTTATATATGGACATTTTCAGTATTTAGAAATAAAGCAACTTGTTAATAGACATGTGACGGTTCTGGTTAGCTAACATGAGGCGCATTCCAGTGAGAAACAGCAATAGTAGCAGTAATAATGCTAATTCAGATTACATGAAGTTAAAGTATCTCTTGCAGGTAGTGAGACATGAGCTGGGTTTGTCCTAAACCATGAACATGGACTCATCAGAACCAGTTTTGAAGGACAAACATTTACTATTGTACCAAATATACCAGCCACAAACACGAAGTAAGAGTGTGAGCTATCTTACCCTACCGTCAGTATCAGTGCAAAACCCTCCACCACCTTATTAAATCCAGGTCTCTGACCAGATTGCTGAAGCTAATACCTGATTCAGCACTCTGAGCTAACTAGGAGGCTTCCTTCTTGGAATATTGAACAATTTCTGCCCATTGTGTTTGTGATTTTTGCAGTTTATTGCACAGAAACAACTTCACATGTTAATAACCTCCGTTATTCTGTTGTCTTCTCTACCCGCCTGGGCATGTGTGTGTCTAACAGTGACATGACTCAGACACATCACCAGAGACAAATTTTTACTATATTCTCCTAACTGTCATTCCACTTTACCCTGTCTTCTTCTTCTCTGACTCCTCTGTCCAATAATCCTATGTCTTTTCCTTCCTGTCGCCCTCCCCTCTAGCACGCGTTTCTGCAGCGTGAACGTCCAGACTCCGTGCTGATGGATCTTATTCAGAGGACCAAGGATGCAGTGCGAGAGCTGGATAACCTGCAGTACCGCAAGATGAAGAAGATCCTCCTTCAGGAGGCCCACAACGGACCCACAGCAGAAACCCAGGATGGAGATGAGGTGTGTAGACCTTTGTATGTGAAAATCAAATTAAAGTAACAGAGTTGGAATACAACAAGATTTGAAGGGGGGATAGAAATACATTTGCCACTTTCATGGCATCCGATCATGCATAGAAAATAACCAAGCATGCATTGGTTTGTATGCATGTCTGTCTGTCTGTGTCTCTTGGTCTTCTCGTATTCCCTCTCTGGCTCGTTCTCTCTCCCTCGCTGTCTCTCTCTGTGCTCTTTCCGCTCTATCTGCAGGAGCTGGAGCCTGGGGGAGGTCGGACCGGAACGGTGAACAGTGTGGGCAGTAATCAGTCCATCCCTAGCATGTCCATCAGCGCCAGCTCCCAGAGCAGCTCTGTCAACAGTCTGAACGAAGCGGCCCAGGACAGCCGCAGCGAGCTGGATCTGATGGAGGGAGACCACACTGTCATGTCCAACAGCTCCGTCATACACCTCAAACCGGTGGGTGGGGTTACTCAGACACACACCTTCTTACAGGAAGTGTGAGGAATTATATTCATTATTCATTAAAGGGGTAAAATAAGAAATTAAAATCCTGCATTGCAATTGGGGACATCAAGACAACAAATTTTGTAGGATGTCGCATGAAGTGAGTGTGGAGTTTCTTATAGCAGCCTGATGAATGTATTCAGAGTTAGACACTTAATTGCTGTGATGTTTCTGTAGCACTTTGTTGTAGAGGATTGTTACTGATTCTCCTCTCCTCTGTCCTGCTCTCATTGTCGCTCTGTCCCAAATGTTCTCGTGTTCCCAAAGCTTCTTTTTTGTATGTGCACTGTTAATTACTGTAACAGAATAATATGTTTAACGCTGCTGCCTTATGTCTCCAGGAGGAAGAGGAGAGTTTCTCTGGGGAGCAGGCAGCCAGCAGTCAACCCTCTGAGCCCCAGGCAACACCAGCTCAGGCTCCGAGGAAGCACTACCGCAACAGAGAGCATTTTGCCACCATACGCACGGCGTCACTTGTGAGAACACACTTACTCCTCCATGCATCTCACTTATCTTACTCACTAATTTGTACTTAATGTTTGAGAAAATAAGTAGAAGTGTTCTACATTTAACAAAATCTCTCAACTTTGCTGTTATACCTACAGACTTGAGTAAGATGTCGTTCTACCTCTCTACACAACACAATTTTGAAATCATCTAAATGTGACTGAACTGTGCTGATTCTCTGCGGCGTCTGAATCTTTCAGGTGACCCGCGAGATGCAGGAACACGAGCAGGACTCCGAGCTACGGGAGCAAATGTCAGGATACAAACGCATGAGACGGCAACATCAGAAGCACCTGATGGCCCTGGAGAACAAGCTGAAAGGGGAGATGGATGAGCACCGCCTGAGGCTGGACAAAGAGCTGGAGAGTCAGAGAAGCAACTTCACCCAGGAGATGGAGAAGCTGCTTAAAAAACACCAGGCAGCCCTGGAGAAAGATGTATGTGGACAAGCAAATTAAGAAAAATACACACAAAATATTAATTTAAACGAAAAATCCACTGTTCTCAAAGTGCCTTTTTGTCTCTTACTTAATATTTGTGTTTGGTTTAGCTGAAGACATTTACCAATGATGAGAAGAAGTTCCAGCAGCACATCCAGGTGCAGCAGAAGAAGGAGCTCAGCAGCTTCCTGGAGTCACAGAAGCGGGAGTATAAACTACGCAAGGAGCAGCTCAAAGAGGTAAAATTACTGAGCCACACACACACACACACACACACACACACAATCATCTCCCCCATGATTTAGTGGTTTCGGCAACAACAAAAAAATCAGCTAAACGCAGAAATAAATACGTACTTGGAACTTCTTTAGGTTTGTAGTTGAGGTAAACACGTAGTGCACAGGAAACACAAAGGCTTAATAACGTCGTTAGGCAACACAGAACTGGGTCGGCTCGAGTGGCTGGTGCCCGAGAATTTTAGGCATTTTGCTTGTAAATGGTTTAAACAATTAATCAGTTATCAAATTAGCTGCTGATTACCTGACTAATGTTTCCGCTCCAGTCAACATAATCATTGACACCAACACAGGCTGAAGAAGGCAGTGCTCAGCCTACCCATTCTTGCATTTCTAAATGTCGGTGTGCTAAATGCTGACATACAGCCCGATAACGGCAATGCCCTGACATACTGAAATAAAACAAAATAACTCCTGTGTGGCAGGAACTGAGCGAGAACCAGTCAACTCCCAAGAAGGAGAAGCAAGAGTGGCTGTCCAAGCAGAAAGAGAACATCCAGCACTTCCAGGTGAGAATTTCTCCGACTTTATGTCCACTTCTAAGACCAAATGACGATTATATTATTGTAATGCCGCGATGTGTCCATTCCCAGGCTGAGGAGGAGGCCAACTTGCTGAGGAGACAGAGGCAGTACCTGGAGCTGGAGTGTCGGAGGTTCAAACGCAGGATCCTCATTGCCAGACACAATGTGGAGCAGGATCTGGCCAGAGAGGTGCTGAAAACACACAGCGAGAACCAAACACCACCACTCACTGAGAATTTTATTTGATCACTGTCGTCTTGCATTCTGTCCTCTTTTTCAGGAGCTGAACAAACGGCAGACACAGAAGGACCTGGAGCACGCCATGCTGCTCAGGCATCACGAGTCGATGCAGGAGCTGGAGTTCAGGCACCTGGGGACGATCCAGAAGGCACGGGCAGAGCTGATCCGGACCCAGCACCAGACAGAGCTCACCAACCAGCTGGAATACAATAAGAGGAGGGAGAGGGAGCTGAGGCGCAAGCATGTCATGGAAGTCCGACAGCAGCCGAAGAGCCTCAAGGTACATGAAGCCATGGAAGTTTTTTGTTAGATGCTGTTCTGTGACTTACACTATAACACACACACACAACACCCAACAGTCAACAATTTCATTTCTTTTCCTTCCACAGTCAAAGGAGCTTCAGATTAAGAAGCAGTTCCAGGAGACTTGCAAAACCCAGACCAGGCAGTACAAGGCCCTCAGGAACCATCTGCTGGAGACCACGCCCAAGTCTGACCACAAGGCCGTGCTGAAGAGGCTGAAGGAGGAGCAGACCAGGAAGCTGGCCATCCTGGCCGAGCAGTACGACCACTCCATCAATGAAATGCTCTCCACGCAGGCTGTGAGTACCTGAAGAAGAAGAAGAATAAGAACAGGTCTAAAAGGCTTATGAAGTATAAATATGAAAATGTCCTTATTTAGTCATTAAACTCACTTTTGATTACAGCTGGATATCATTTGAAATAATACCGGTGTCAACATGATGGCAGAGTTTCAGTGCTGGTGTCAATACACCATTAATGAATTGAAAATGTTTTTCCACAGAACTGTTTTTAATAAGCCAACCTTCTCAAATGCATCAATGTTTAATTTGTCTGAACTAACAGCTGCCTTAGGGACTTAAATAATAAAATACATTCTACATTTAGCAAAATGATTATTTATAACAGGAAAAGTCAAATTAAAGAACATCTAAACAAGACTAAAAATCTGAATGAGCATTTTATGCAAACTTTCAGTGCTCAACAGTTTTTGATACTCAGTATGGTCAGTATGCTCGGTGCGGTAAGTCCATTTTCATTGTAAAGTCATTGACTAACAAAATGGATCCTTAAAAGTCATTAAAAATCCTTGAATTTTGGAAAGCCATTTTTAATATGGCTATATTATATATGATCATTCTAAATCAGATACAGGATTATTGAGTCAAAACGTTATTATCAGTTTTTAGGGATGTGAATTATTATTATTCTGTATTCATGGCTACTTGAGAGATCTCTTTTCCTTAATAAAATATTCTATATCTCACTGACATGGGGGCAAAACAAACATCATGGTGCTTACAAAGAAAGACTTTGTTTTTTCTCTCTTTATGTCTCTCTCTCTTTCGCTTGCCTCCACTCAGCTGCGGTTAGATGAAGCTCAAGAGGGCGAGTGTCAGGTCCTGAGGATGCAGCTGCAACAGGAGCTGGAGCTGCTCAACGCGTACCAGAGCAAGATCAAGATGCAAACAGACGCTCAGCACGACAAGGAGAGGAGGGAGCTGGAGCAGAGGGTCTCTCTGCGGAGGGCTCTGCTGGAGCAGAAAGTAAGAAAGGCCCTGAACTTAGTCTAGTGTTGTCGAATGACAGTTGACAGTCAAGTTGTGTTTTTTAGGTTTTGGTTACCCTTTTGTTGACATTAATAAGTAAGTGCGTTTTTAACTCTGGTTACAAAATGCTTTACATGAACATCGCATTCAAAAATACATACAGATAAAACAAACACAGAAACCAGTCACCACTCAGACCACACCTTTTTGAAGTTATCCAATGTCATAGAAACGGCCATCCTAAAAGAGTGGGTTTTAAAATGTTGTTTTAAAACAGTCGGGAAACTGCAACAGTGGGAAGGGGGTGACTGTTCCGAAGTCTGGTGCCAGAACTCATTTGTTCACTGTGTTTATCTCTCCAGATTGAGGAGGAAATGCTGGCCCTGCAGAACGAACGCCTGGAAAGAATCCGCTCACTGCTGGAGCGCCAGGCCCGAGAGATCGAGGCTTTTGACTCGGAGTCCATGCGGCTGGGCTTTAGCAACATGGTGCTCACTAACCTGGCTCCCGACTCCCAGGGAGGCTGGGGCGGAGGAGGTGGGGGAGGCCAGGGGGCTCAGGGGGGAGGCCACTGGCCCGGAGGAGGTGGAGGAGGAGGCCACCATAGTCATCACCACCAGGGGGGCTCCAGCTCACAGCAGCCCTGGGGTCACCCCATGCTGGCTGGGGGCCCGCCACCCTGGAGCCTCCACCACCCCGGAGGAGGGAGTCAGAGGGGGAGCGGGGGCGGCGTGGGAGGGGTGAGGAACAGCCCACAGGCTATGAGGAGGACGTCATCAGGGGGGAGGAGTGAACAGGGCATGAGCAGGAGCGCCAGCATCACCTCTCAGATATCCAACGGATCCCACCTGTCGTACACCTAGAACACACACACACACACACAGACAAACACACACACACACGAGCAACACAGTAATTGTCTTAAAGTAAAATTCTTGTGCACCAATGTAACACTGTACACAGACACACACCATGCATGCACCACACATGCTTCACATACACTTGTTGCAATCTCCCACAGTATGTCTGACACACACTGCACAGTACAGAGACTGGGTTTACCTCATCCCAGTGTCTCTTCCATCACTACTGTTCTCTTACACCAGTGTACTGCTAGCAGCAGTCTGTGGAAACCCAACAGTCTTGAGACTAATCCAAGATGGCTGAGGGCCACATACAGTATGCCATAACGCAGTAGTGTCATTTTTACGGTAGCCTAGAGTGCTATTTTATGTGTTCATATTTGCAATGTTAGTCTCTGTTGCCATAGATACAAAGTAGTGTATAAATATTATCTACCATGGAGTTTATGATAAAGAGTTGTTTATTTGCAGTATGCTGTTTTATATGCTGTTTTGTGGTAGCACGATAAGGTGCATTATGGGAAAATTTGCACAGTGTGTGCAGTTTTTAAAACAACTATAAATATTTGTCCTTGTGCAAATTCCTTCAAACCACTCACGGCTCAGATTTAAGCAGAGATATCTTAATGATAGAAAGTTTAATGAGATTATTGTTTATGTGCAGTTTCAGGCAAAAGAGAAGGCAGCAGGTGATGTAGGGTTCTGATGTAAGATTGATGATTGAAGAATAAACCGTTTCAGGACATGTTGGACAGAGTCTAGAAGGAAAATGAAAAGAAGAAGAGAACAAAGGTTGTTGTAAGTGAGTACCAGTTGGTATCTCTGACTTTATAGAAGTAGTGCAGGGACAGCTACTGGATAGCTAAAAGTATGTAATCTTTCATTCCAGCCGAAGTGACTTAACTGAGAAGCTTATCTTCCACCAGGGAGGCAGTCTAAGCAGTGAAATCACCTGGTGCAGTGATTTAATGAAACAATACTCTCAACGCCACACAGGTTTAACTTCCCTGGAATTAGAGGTTACTGTGTACTACAGGCAGGGCTGCAAAGATGCCAAATGTAAGGGTGCAGAGTCGGATGTGTCGTCGTGACTATTCATGCCAATATATTGTTATGTTTTTAATGAGATTGTGCCGGAGATGTCCGTGGAAGTTCAGTTCATACTCTGAGGCCAAGTAGATGCATCTTTTGCTGGACCGGAGGAGAGCATGCTCAGCCTTATTGGTTTAGCTCTTGGGTTTCCACAGACCTCTGCCCTTCACTCACACCTGCTCAGTGGACGGCCAGTTTGAGGGATACTGAAGCCTTATTAGTCCACAGCCCTCACGACAGGGATGGGTTTTCAGCAGCACTCAACCTCTACTTGAATAATTTTCAAAACTGTGTGTTCACTTCTCACTTGTTTGCAGTAACTTCCTGGTCTAATCTGGCTCTGTCTTAGTGATGCACTATGCAGTAAAAAAAAAAAAAAACTTTCTCTGACAAATTGAACCATGCCTGCTGGCCTACCTCAAGAACACTCAAGCTGAACTTCACCACAGGGTGTCGTGACTTGACAATGACTTGCACTTTGGCACAGGCCTTTATCCAAACTAAACGTTAATCAGATATATTGACACACACACACACATACATAACTACAGTAGTTATTGTACATTTTTTATTCCCCAGTCAACCAATATGTCCCTTTGCACACTTGGATGATGAATGCATGTACAGGGTTAAATTTTGTGAAAGTCAGATTGGGACATAAAAGTAAAAAAAATAAAATAAAAAAATAAAATAAAAAAGATCAGATTTTCTAAAAAGTAGTGCACTTAGTTGTTGGCTGTAAATGAGCAAACACACTCAGCAGCAGGTAAATTTTAGGTCACAAAATCATTTGTTTTTGGGGCAACTCTGTAGGTAACATTGTCCCTCACAGTTGTCTAAATATGTCCCAGTGTGTTGTTTTTGACTTTAAAAAAAAAAAAGACCTTTTTAAAGGGGCAGAAGTAAAATGAATGAACACGTGGTGCGCGGAGGAGCTCCACTCGCCCTCTGCTGGTTGGTGACTGCTGAATGTCTCAGTGGGTGGATGGGTGGTGATGCTGTGATCTCCGCTGCCATGCCCCTGCAACCTTCCCCGGTCTGACACCCCGCTCTGTCTCACCCCTGGTGACCCCAATGTCATGTTCTGACCACCGATCTCCCTGCTTCCCTCCACCTCCCGTTTCCTCCCCCCCTGAGCCTGATGTGGTCTTCACCCCCTCCCTGATCTATTTGCGTAGAGCTCTTCAAGTGAAAGTAAAGAAGAAAAAAAATTATTTATATATATATATACATAATATGTGTATTATTATATAAATCTATATATAAAAAAAAAGAAGGATTATAGCGATAAAGGTGGAAGTCTTATTGTGAAATGCAGAGAATTTGCATTATATGATTTCAGAGGTGGATTGTACAGGAAACCTGTTAATATTGTATATTTTGAATTTGAAAATATGGAAATCTAATTGACAAATCAAAGACAAATTAACTTGTTGTGATGGAGACACAGTGACGTGGTTTTAGACCAGCGGTATCCAGATGTTTTAGCGCCGCTGGGTTTTCACTGTCTTACCTGCAGCTGCGAGTTCTGAAACTTGTTACAGATATTCTGTTGTGAATAATAACAACACAACTCCAGGTCAGATTGCCTCGAGTAAATGGCAACATTTTTGTTTTAATGCTGAGTGAGGATGATTTTGCACATAATTTGAAATCTAGTTAGGTGTAGCCTTTGCTGTAGCATAGGCTATATTTTACTGACATTATGATACCCAATATAGAAGACTGATTTTTAGAAGACTCACTAGCCTAAAGTGAAGGTTATAATAACACAGAAAAAGAAAGAATCCTTTTTAAAGACCTATAAAATCTGAAAAGCTACTGAATTCTAAAACATTTGGCTGCATACACTTTTAGTGCACTCCACAACCTGAAAACGTTTCCAAATTCTTGCACAAGACAGTGAAAATATATCTGTTGTTTGATAGGGTTACTCTTAGATGTCGTGGGGTCCACTGATATCATTTTGACTTTTATGTCGGATTTATGAAACGTGCGCCCTCTTTAGTCCTGATTATAAACAAAGCATTTTCACACTGCACTTAAGTATTTGCCTTTTTTAAACCTTACCACCCTGAACTCAACTTATAAATCTGTTGTTTCTCATGGCTACAGTCATGGCTGAAAACACAGAAAAAAAAAACAGAATGTGGTGGTCCCACTTCTCTTTTCAAAAAGTATTGCATTGTACCCATCATATTTTATCAACCTCGTTTCCAGCTCTTTAGTGTTTTATTTCCTTTTAATACCAGAAAGGCTAATTTTATTTTTCAGGTGATGTCTGCAGAGGGCCAAACGAGTGGCAGATTTTTAGACCGTCTCTTGTGTTTACTAGAACTCCCAGGTGTTTTTTGAGGCAGTTGGGGCAGAGTCTAGCTTTAGACCTTGGTCACTCTGAACTGGATCAGTTGCACTGATTGCACAAGTGATTGACCAGATCAAAGAGTCTACTGTGATCCCCCTCAGTGTGCTGAGGGACGGCTGCCATTGGCCGAGGGTAGGCGGGAGGCAGGGTTATGTCTCTGTACAGTCTGTTTATCAGTATTCCTTTTGTCTCTCCTGTCATTTGGTGGATCTTGCTGTTTTATTCTCCCTGGTCCAGAGACCTGTATTAAACTGTATTAAATTGTATAGATTGTGCAAAAAGCTGAATGTCGCATAGCAGAAGAGAAAAGCTATTCCTTACAGATGACAAAGTGATTTAAAATGTATAAAAGAAATTCAGAAACAAAGTTTAGGGGATAAATGTAATATTTTGTTTGTAATTACTATTTTTTGTTGGAAGAGGGCTACTGGATAAAGAATCATCTGTAATAAAGTAATTTTAATATTTCTTTGTCCTATGGTGTTTTGTGTGTGAGGAGCATGACAAAGTTAAAGCATTTAAAGTTTACAAAACTCTTAACTGTAGCCTAAATATTGGATTCTTTATACTGTTTGTCATAAATGCCTGAGGTATTATAATGTAACATGACAGTTTTGTTTAAAGCCCAGCCAAAAAAGTTGTTTTCGTCTTCACACTGCTTGTTCAATTTGCATAATCTCTTTTTCATTCACAGGGGGTTTTCTTAAACCAGCTGGCAGCTATATCGCTTGAAAACCTGTTGCTTTAATAAGTACAATGTTGAGATAAATACTAAATGTTGATCAGGGAAGCTTTGTCACTTTCGTTTGTCTTTACCAAAGATCATGTGTCCTCAAAGTCGATAAAGTCTTTCTCTACGGAGCTCATCCTCCACCATCTCTTTCTCCTCAGCGTGTATAGGACCTCTTCCAGGTGAAGTTCCCGTCCTCTGCATCCACCCTGCTCTGTCCAGGCGCCTGTGGTCTTGGTCTCCTCGTCATGGTGGCTCTCCTCCTGCGAGGAGGGGCCATGTTTCCGATCCTGTTCCTCTGCCCAGCTTGACTGTATTCTCCTAGCGGACCACCCCATCTTGCTCCATCCCTCTCCTCTCCTTTCAGGAAATCAGCCGCTACTCTGAAGTACTCCAGAACCACATTGTGACTCCAGCTGGCTTCCTCCACCTCGTCATTTTCAGTCCTAGCTCCCTCCATCTCTTCTCGGCCTTCCATAGTGAATCCACAGTGCCCTCCTTTGTCTGTCAACACCAGGAGGAAATAAGGATTGCTTTGGAAAAGGGGGATGGGCAACGTGGAGGCCGGCGGGAGGAGAGGGTCGTCACGGCTGCAGATACAGAGCACTGGCACGGCCACCTCATCCGCATCTCTCAGTGGTTCGTTCCTCTCCCAGTAGCTGTCCCAGTCCTTGGCTGGGTAAGCCCTCTCGCCCAGTGCCCAGGCCACTGAAGGTGCCAGGCCCTGTGGGGAATGAGGTCCTGAGCTCAGCCCAGGGTTTGCTGGAGGTCTAGAGGATCTCTGCTGAAATTGGGCTGAGGAGCAAAAGAGCCGTTCCTCAAAGTCCCTGAGGGAGGAAGAGCCGAGGGCCCGATCCACATCCAGGACGGCTCTGAAGGAATTTGCGTACCTTACACCAGAGCCATGAGAAAAAAAACATTGATTATGTCCATATTTCATTCATATCAGTGTTGTAACTACTATTGTTACATTTTCCTTCTACTTTAATTTCGCTCACCTTCTGAGCTGCATTTTCCGGTGAAACAGCGCCCCCCAGCGATAAATAGGAGGCATGGCTGTTTCAAACCACAGCTGGCCCTGAAGCACAGGTGAGATGGCTGCAGCTGCTGTCAGGTATGTACCTGATCCATGCTCCCCCAAGTAGGAAAGAAGAATCCCTGAGCCTGAACCCTCACTCACTGCAACCAGCACAGAGGATGGGTGGCGGCTGTGGATATAAGCCACCGCCTGAAAATGGAAGACATCCAAGATGCCATCAGTGTCGGGTAAAAGAAAAAAAGCATTGAATCACTTTGGTGCAGATTGAAACAACAATAACTATTTGATTGATTTCCTTATGTTTCCCAGAGGATTAATCTTGCTGATGATGCGCTGACTTTTCTTCTAGCGCCACCATGATGTTGCCATGTTATATTTGGTTCAGACATTCATGGTCCTCAAATTATGAATTCTAATGTTGATCCCGGCGACCCTCAGGTCGTCAAAGCACAGTTCTTCCAATACTTTGATTTACGATTGAAAACTATCCCATCAGCCTCATTTGCACTTATGTTTAGCTATAATTAGCAAAGGTTAGCATGCCAACACACTAAAATGAGATTGTGTATGATTAATTATACTGTATATTAATCTGTTGATTGTTTTTCCAAATGATTTACTGAAATAACAAAAAACTAAATAACTAGTGAATGTTAATCGCAATTTCCCAGAATACAAAGTGGCATCTTAAAGTTGCTTAATTTGTCCAACCAACTGTCCAGTACCCAAAGGTATCAATTTACAATGATATAAAACAGAAAAAATCAGCAGATCATCACACCTGAAAAAATGGGGTAAGCCTGGCAAATACTGGACCGTTTTGAGTATTAAATTACTAAAAATTATTACATTACAATTGTTGGCTATTCATTTTCTGTCCATTAATTAATTAGCTAATTGTTTCAGCACATAAACATACACCATAAAAATACTTTCCCCAAAACATAATTTTCTTTCTATACCTGCTCAAGATCAGCTGGGTCTCCAAACTCAGTCAGTCGTGCTGTGGTCAGGGGGCATCCCGCTGTGCCTCGAGGGTGAAACACCACCACATAAAAGCCCTGACGCACGGCCTGGTGGCACAGCGCCTTTAAGTGGGGGGTCATCCCTCCCCAGGACTGAGGGATGAGGAGGAGGACAGGCGGCGTCGAGGTGAAGTAGCCCAGCGCCTTTCCCCCTGAGTGATACTCCTTCCTTCCCTCCCACCTCTTCCTCCCAACCTCCTCACCCGCTCCCGTCCCCACAGCCCAGTCCACAGCTACGATTCCCCCGTCCCTCAGTAACAGATTATCTCTAGAGAACTGTATCGTGTCTCCATGTTGTCCCCACAGCAGACTGGACAGAGTCTGGAGGTGGGGGTCTCCCCTGGGCCACGGAGCCAATCTGGGCTTGGCCAGAGAGCCACAGTGCCGGAGCAGATATTTGGCCAGCGCAGTGGGTTTGCAGATGAACCTGGGTTCTGCAGCCCTGACAGTCAGTCTTGTCCAACATCCTGCTCTGGGCCAGCGCAGAGCCAGACACAGCAGGAAAAGTAACAGGGATGGGAGAAAACACAGGAAACAGTCCCATACAAATACTGCCATTGGTGAATACAAGAGATCCTAGTTCAGCCTCAAATCTGATGTTTTCTCTGGGACGTTTCGCTGTGATGTCAGCAGTAACCTTTGCCCTCCATGTTTGACAAACTCCTGCCTTGAAGCTTCATGCATGAGCGTGACGGTCCAGCCTGATCAGTTGACTGATGTTCTCAGTAGTCGTTTCATTTCTCCACTTTGTTACAAAGAGTAAAGAGAAGTCTTCAGTGATTGCCAAAGAAATATAAAAAAGTGAACTTGAGGATAGACAGGGTAAATTGCTGTCTCTCAAACACCCCCCCCCCTCCTCCTCACTCACTCTCTCTTTCTCCTCCCTCCATGAATCATTCACTGCAAACACAAGCTCTGATAGAAACTGAGCAAACACAGGCCATATCCAGTGATTTCAGAAAGTATACAGACCCCTTAATTATTTTCACATTTTTATTTTCATGTTGCAGCCTTATGCAAAAATATAGAAAAAGAGAATATATAATAATATCAATCTACACTTCATATCCCATAGTGACGAGGTGAAAACAGAATTTTAGAAATTTTTGCAAATTTATTGAAAAGGAAAAACTGAAATATCACATTGACAAAAGTTTTCAGTGCCTCCCCTTTCTCCTGATCATCTTTGAGATGTTTCTACAACTTGACCGGAGTCCGCCTGTGGTCAGGTCAATTGATTGTTTGACCTTTCCTGTGACTCTGTTTAACAATCTGGAAATAATTATAAAAGTATTTTAAATTGTAAAGATGCACTAGTAGCCTGGAATGGGAGTATTGTCCTCTATCAGTCATTTTATTGTACTGTAGCACACACTGTACCATCCTCTGCTGTCAGGTACTTTAACAGGTTTCTAGTACAACCTATTCATGAGAAATGAAAATGAAAGAATTCAAACAGACGCAGCAGAGAGGTGTGTGGTTTTAACGGACCAGACAATCTGGCTGTTGTCTGCCTGCATTGTTGGATGTGGTTAGTGCCTGAACGTTTCTGTTTTGCCCTCAGTCCCTATAATGTCATAACAACATACAAACTACTACTGGTTTTATCACTTTCTCCCACACAGAGGATTCTGAGTAAACACATGCACAAACCAAAGGGAAAAAGATGTATTTGCAGATTCAGGAATTCTTTTTCATTTAGTAACTGAGTTCCCATAAAAATAGTAAAATTCAGGAATCCCATGTGGCCTTACAAATGTTCTGAAAGACAGGCAAACACACACACAAATAAATGGGAAAAATAAAAAACGAATTGCATACATTTCCTCTGCAGCTATTGTTAGGAAAAACTTTGACGCATCAAAATCTGCTATAATGATTTATTTTTTTAAAAAAAAGGCTATGTCAAGTAAATAAGCCTGTTATGTGAAGATCATAGATTAACTCTTATGATCAGTATGAGTATAACAGTATGAGGCATATGCTTTTATAGTAACAAGCCATTTGAGGTGGACCTACATTTTCTAGTAGAAAACACTGAGGGCAAAAAAATGACAATGTATGTCTTTACAATGTATTGTTTTGAACATTTACAAATCATAATCTTGATGTTGCTATGCAAGACAACTGGTCAAACTAGTGCAGCAGAGTTATAACTCCACCCAAGACATGGAGCATTATTATAAATTAAGTTGTTACAATAGGTAATAGTATGAGACCACATCACGACCTAAGGTACAGTAGTTCTATTTGACGATTATTGTTAATGTTAAAAGAAAAGTGCAATTTAAAAGAAATCAGATTTTTAGATTTTAATATCATTTTTCATATAAATCAATACCTATTTAATGTAATGATGTCCCATGTTAAACAAAATATAATCATTTAAAAACCCATTATTATTATCATTATTATTGTTGTTGTTGTTGTTGTTATTATCACCAAAACAATTTATTCACTGGTCTTGTATTTGGTTGTTTGTTTTGCTTATACATGCTTATGCAATTCTCATACAGGTGCAAATAACAAGGGCTACCATTTAGGTATTTACCAAAACCAACCAAAGCCAAATCAATTTTGGGTTTGATTTGTCATCTGAATATGAACATTTGAGTGCAATCAGTCAAGTTTATAAGTTTCGCTTTCGTTTTAGCACCATGTCAGGAGTCTGTCTGTCTGTCTGTCTGTCTGTCACAAAACTCTACAGGTGTGTAGTTTAGATCAGAATCAAGGTTGAGTTCAAAGATGGGTGTTGTTCTGAGGTTCTGTCCTGTGGTACTGACTACCCATGTAATACTGTAGTATGTTCTGACTCATGAGTACTCAGTACCCATGTAATACTACAGTATAATACTGTACCCATGAGTCGGACCATCAACATGTTGATGGGCGTTGTAGAAAGTGTGATCCCACTGCAAGATGGTCTGATAAACTTGTTGACTGTTGGCATTGTTGCCACCTGACACTACCTGGGTAAGAACGGACCTTTATGATAGCGTTTGCCTCATGTTAGGTCACTTACGATAAACAGTAATATTAGCCGTGTTTTTTATTCTCTTCCTCATGTCTATCCCACAGGTGGTGCAGTGATGTCTGGGTTGGCTGTGGTGTGTCTCCTGCTTCTGCAGACTGGAGCTCATGCATTTGGTATATTTGGAGGAGAATCTCTGAACCATCAGGAGATCACTGAGAGAGCGCTCTTAAATACCACTGTGCAGGTGTGCCGTGCCCTGGCCCTGGCTGAGGGCAAAGACTTCACTTTTCCTGTAAGAATTCATTCAACCAAATTAAATTGGGTTAAAGAGGGTTTTTTTTTCCACTGTAATATTAATACAATAAATGTGTTTTATATTTCAGTCTGCAAAAAAAATGTGTGTGTGTGTGTGTGTGTGTGTGTGTGTGTGTGTGTGTGTGTGTGTGTAGCCACAGCCATTTACCGCTGAGTCTGTTGCTGCTGCATGTGCATCAAAATCATCCAAGAGCTTCCGCCGAGCCATCAAGTTAATCAAATACACGAATTTAGGAGTAGACTTACTTACTTTCTACATTGCTAGCTATCACTTTGACAATGAAGAATTCATTGAGGGAAGGAAAATCATCACAAAAGGATTGTCAGCTGTGAAGGCCAGCAACAAGGAAAATAACTTCTTGACATCGAGAATAAGACTGGGAATAATATTACACCCTTTACAGGTACTCTCTTTTAATGGTTATGTTTCCATAACAGTTATTTTATGAATCAATAAATAAATGTAACTACAAGGCTGCTTATTGATGTAAAGTAGTGAAGTTATATTTGTGTTAAAATATAAGTTGATATTGCTTGTTATAACTAATGAATTTGTCTTACTTTCTTTTTCTGTAGGATTTCTACAGCCACAGTAACTGGGTGGAAATGGGAAACGAGCGTCCAAACTCCAATCTGATCAAATCAGGCACCAGCATTGGGAACTTAGCAGGTAATAGGATCATATAATGTCAGTGTGTGTTTGGATGTCTTAACAAAAGAAGAATGCACATGACGCTCATCATCACCATGATCATTTTAGTTACGTGATTGTACTTATGCTACCCTTCAAAAATGTACATATTGTCCTCTTGCACTGTACGCCGCTTTCTCTTAATACTGTATATATCTGCACTCATTATGCTGCTATTCATTGGTCTCTGTGTTTCTTCTTAAAATGATGTACATATTTACACTGTTGGCTTTATGTGGTCAGATGTGCAACTGCATTTCGTTGTTCTGATGCTTACTGTGTCCAACAACCATCAAGTTGAATCTAAACTAATCAACAGCTAAAAGCAGAGCGACATGTCGCAACTGTGATGGAGACGACTGCACTAACAACATTTTGGAGGATATCCTAGACGAAAAGATACTTACCACGGGATATTTTAATTTTGTACCTGTTTTCTCCACGAAGCCTGAAGGTAAATGTTTTCATATTAATTTGTAGTTGTTTTTATTACTGAATTAAGCATACTTTTAAATAAACTGGGTCGGAGTCTTCTGTCAGGATCAGAATCTTATGTCCTGTTTTTGTTTAATATAACATAATGGGCCCCAAGACAGCCATAATTCCACATTTTTAGCAATACACCAAATGACATACACACATACTTGGCAAAAAAACAACACATATTTACACAGAACAATCTTACTGTAAATTAAGATATGTGTGCTATTCTCTGCAGAAGAGACGTGTAAATCTGTATGTAGCATTTTGTTCTTATTTCTAACTGTAAACAGGAAAATGCAGCCATGGAGGAGGAATTGATCAAACAAGTAAGATTGAGCCTAAAGGTGGCATCAACAAAGACAAGTTTGATTCCAGTCATGGACATCTCCACGCTGAAGCAGCAAGAGTGGCGATAGCTGCAACCAGTGAGCTACTGGAGGACGTTCGAGGGGCTGCTGGTGACAGACCATTCCTCCAGTACGAGACTCATCCTGCATCTTTCAGTTACAGTTACTGTATGTACTATAATGAGGTGAATTACAAAGTTTTTTAGTTTTTTATCCAACTCTGACTTCTCTCATTCTTCAGGATGATGGGAATAATCAAAGGTAAACCTCTCTGTTTTGTGATTGACACCACGGGGAGCATGGCTGATGACATTGCGACAGTGAGGACCGTCACTTCCTCTATAATCAACAGTAAAGTGGGAACAGATGAGGAGCCTTCACTTTACATTCTTGTACCGTTCAATGATCCAGGTAGGATTTCAATTCCCCATGAGATTTTACAATATTTTATAGTTTATTTTTCCTCTGAAGTAAAGTGATGTTTGTGCTGCTGAGTTTATTAGTTTACGTCCTGTTTTTCTGCTAAACACAAAACCAATCAGTTGACTTTTGCTGTATTTGCTGTATTCTTGTTGTTCCAGCAATAAGTGAGAACAATAATAAAAATCACAAACTACTCATCAAAAATACACACAAGATGAAGAATAAAAACATCTATTTTTTTCTCCTGTCTCCACCTGAATCCCAGATTTTGGACCACTGATAAAGACTACAGACCCAGAAGTTTTCAAGAATGCTATTAATTCAC